TTATGAGTATGTTATTTGGAACAGCCTGATCATTACATTTGATGTGGTGATGATTCGAAAACAACCAAATGGATCAAGAAATAATTAAAAGAAAAAACCTGTAGATTTTTTTTCCTGTAGGTCTCAGACCCACTTCTAATTCCATTGTGACTCTCTCCCCATCCTGTCATTTTCTGCCTAATTTTGTGGTAGAAAAAATGCACTTCTTAATTCAGCTTTTATTTCACTGTTCTTCTTGTCCCTCTGATGACTTTCACATGTCCTCCTCTAAACTGCATTCCTTCTCTAGATTTTCTTCAGAGGTATGACCATCTCTCTTGACACTTCTATCACTTTCTTTTCAAACTTTTGCCTGAAGTTTGGCATTTTTTCCAGCTACTTCTTTAGTACTTACCACTTCTCCAAAGCATGTAATTTTTCCTATATAAATGGCCTCAATCAGATAGCGACTCAAAAATAATAAGCTTCCAGCAGCTTTTCCATTCAGTTATTTTCAGTTTCCTCCTCTCTTATTTTTTTTCTGTCGCTGCTTTAACAGACAAGTTGTGTTTTCTTTTTGCCTTAAATTCACAGCTCAGAGGAGGAAAAAAACCACCACTTCATAGATCTTAAAGATTTCTATCCTGTTTGCCCCTACTTTTACTCTTGAGTTTTTGTTTAGGTCAGTCTTGCCATCCAATTATCATTTCACAGCTATATGTACATCAGCCCAAACCAGAGTCAGGGGGTATCTATACAGTATCTGATGGAAAATGTCTGAACCTCCTTCTCCTTCTGAAAGGACAAAACAGCCAACTAACAAAGAAAAAGAAAAGATCTCTCACAGGCAATAAAATGTGACACTGCTTCTTCTTCATTTAGCAGTTTCCTAACTTTGTTTTCTGGCCTTCACTGAGCATAAAAAGCCCAGCTGATTTTCACTAGGCCACACATTGATTCCAGATCTTATGTATCAACAGTTCATCATCATATGAATTAAAACACTAATTCTTAGGAAGGACAATTCCTTTAGATTAAAGAATAGAATTGTGGATTCATCATATATCCATCAACAAAATCCATCCTTTCAGCCTATATTACTTTACAGAAATCCTTCTCTCCTAATGGTGGGAAGAAGAGCTGGAACTTGTTGGCCATCTCCACAATTACTTTGCTGCACTTTGAGCTCTGCATTAGTTCAAGGATTAAACTTTTAAAAGTACCATCATGTAGTTGATCACCACAGTTCAAGTATGTCTGGATCAAATAGACCATAGAACCAGCGCCCTGAAGTTAATCTTAGAAAAATTTTCCATAGCGTAGTGAGAATTATGGTGATAGATTATTCACAAGATAACCCTGCATCCCACTGTTTTGGACTTCATTTGACTTGATGTGGACAAATAAACCAGAAAAGTAACATATGGAGAGAGACTAAAAATTAAATACCATATCCCTGTGCTACATCAGCAAGAGCTAAACAAAACAGTCAACAGTTGTAGCCTGGGCCATCTGGTCACAAAGGCCCATATTACCAAGGTTGTATTAAAATATTTCCATCTCACTATCTTCCCTCAGGAATGAAGGATAATATGCAGAAGCTTAAATTCTGCTAAAAGGTGAGATTCCTCTACCTGCCAGCACAGCGCATCTGTGATAGCTATTTAATTAAGAGATACCCTAATGAAGGGTGTGCAAACGGCAAGGCAGTAACCTAATTCCTAAGTGGTTATGCTGGAAAGCCAGTAACAGCACAGAGAACAAGGAAATACATGTGTGCAGAGGCTGTTAAGCTAAATGCTAATTTGAATTTTTGTAATTAATTAAAACAAATCATTTTCTCCATTTGCCCAGTGTCGTGTCCTCTTCCTGATTTATATTACCAAAGCTTAATGAATAAAGTGCCCTAAAACCCCCATTTTTGATGCTATTGTTTCCTAATTATAAAATAAAACACAATTAATTTTTCTCCCCCTGCTTTTGCACATCTGTGCCGCTCCCAGCAAAGCGCTAACAGGCAGTTCAACTGTTGATGGCTGCTGCAATCACTTCCAAAAAACCTTGTGCATTTGTAGGCGACATAGCATGGTTTGGAAAGCGAGTCAGGACAGATGAATAAACTACACTGGTAATTTGCTGAAGCAGGTGAAAGAAACAGAAAATAATGCACTCGGGTGCAAATGAAAACCTAACTTTTTGTATGGGCATCCAAACTGGACCACATGATGGCATCAGATAGAACTAGTCTTATCTGGAATCATCACTATCCTCTATTTCATTCAGTCAGGGAAGCTTCACATTCCTGATGAGCGGAAAGTGTAACACTACAGTAATAAAGATGAAAGCAAAACAGAAGTTGGAATGTTTTTTCACACAGGAGAATGTGTGGGTTTTCCCTCCCCAAACACACGCATTATTGTATTGCAATTCCTTGTCTCCAAATTATTTTATTACTATATTTGTTGCTACATCTGAATTAAACGGCTCCACAATTCAACCTCACAGAGATTTGACCAGGGGTGCCCAGAGGAGCTCAGAAGGACACTGCTCATGGTGCTGAGCAGACAGGGTGAGCCCTTGCGAGCCACTACAGTGTGAGACAAACTCTTCTGTTCCCACCACAGCAAACCTACACGGGTCCTCAGCCTGTAGGTTACACAGCCTGTAGCTGTGCCAGCTGCTGGCAGCTACCTGACTAAAGTTTGATCCACTTTCCTTTCTTCTTCCCTCCTTTTAAAAATTCTATTATAAAGTGCAAATTATCCATTCTCTGTGTTTTCTCTCTTCCTCACAACACTACAGAAATCACTGCTATTAAAAATACACTTGCAATGTCCCCTCACAGTGATTAAAACAGAGCAGAGATGGTAAAGTTTAGACTCAAGAGAAATTCATACACATCAGAAGCTGTAATTAATCAGTCCACGCAATCTCCTTCGAGACTTTTGAAGATAAGACCCTAAATATGGTGGGAGAGGAAATAAATGTCTTTCACGTGCCTCACAGAAGCAGGCAACTAAATGATTTTTTGCAGTTTCATGACGCTACGTGCAATTCACAATAAACATCTGAAGTTAAAGTGCAGGATTTGAAACAAGTGCATGAACTGGGTGTCTAAGGCTCTTTAGATTAGTACAGACTATTCTACTTCTGAAGCCTTCATGGCCTATCTTATGAAGATCTGTGACATGTCAAAAAGACCTAGAAAAATTGCTTTTATTTTCAGCACTGACTCTACTGAATTTTTTAGTTAGGGAACAAAAGACTCTCTTCCCTACCATCAGTATATCTGAGGATCCAAACTTTTTTATTTATGCTTTGTTAAGCATTCAGTTGAAAATTACTGCAGTTGACCTAGAATATTTCATTCTATTATTTTAAATACCTCTAAAAATTTTATTTCACTTGACACATATACACTCTATGTTACTACTCAAGTCTAGATATGAGAAATAGACTGAAAAAAATATATTTGAAAACTTTAAAAACTGACGACAGTACAAAGCATTTCAAGGTGCTGATCATTTGCAGTGTCTGTAACTTAAACATTAGTTGAGGATAGGTATGTCTCAGGGCCTTTGAAAAAGACTGTCAGACGCCTTTACGCTTCTGTGCTTGTACATTATCTAAAGCATTCGTGATCCCTGACTAGCATTTCAGGAATGAGAACAAGTCAAGATTACAAGATGCCAGGAAAACCTGCATGCACAAATAGGACCTGGACTACTTCAGATCCAAACATTCAGTGCTCACAAGCAGTAGGGTTGGAAAGGGACAGGGAGAAATAAATCAATAATAAAACATAGAAAAAAAGACTATAAATCTGTGTATAAGTAACCTCTTTAATCCCCTCACTGCTCTAAAATTGCAAAAGAGAAGTGTTAAAGATTATATATTAACCATCAATATTTGCTTCAGTTACTGATTATTAATTCTCAAACACTGAAATGTGAAGGGAGAAGCTCAGATATGGCTTTAGAAATTTCAGGACACATTAAAAAATACTTCAGAAAAATAGAAAAACTTAGGGAAATTTATGATATCTGTATAAATTATTGATGAGAAAAGGGGAGAAAATGAAAACTTCATTAATTATTCTTTCTTCTTACTGATAGGAAAACAAACTTTCCTAATTATTAAAGTAACTGATTAGGTGCCAGCTGGCTAAATTACACATTGATCTAGAGTAAAATTCTGCCCTCAAGCCATGCATTTAGCTCCAGTGATTATATCGATGGGAATTAGGAAGAGACTCCACAGCTGTAAAGGCTGTCATGTCAGTAACACACGTATGGAAGTCAGGGTGATGTATAGGAGTCCCTGTTTCAAAGCTGCCAACATGCAAAATATATTCATGTCTTTATAAGTTTGGATGCCTAATTGACCATTTGAACAATTACTGTTATTTTAGTTTTAATGACTTTGAATATACAAGCTGTTTATCTGAAGTTCTGGAAAACTGGCTGTCAGACAACCCGTCTATGTGGTTGTCTGCACACGAGAAGAGCTTTCAACTTTGTCAGACCTTTGCAAACATCAAAAGATAAAACTGCAAACATCCGCAAAGACTTATTTTGTGTTTGGACACCAGAAATTAACTGTGGAATGACCAAAAGCTGTTTTTTTAACATATAATACCTTATGAATTCCTTCTAGGTCTTCAAAATAGAAACAAGATAATCCACGCTACACAGTAGGATATTCTTCAAAACATTCCTGGCCTAGGTTTCAGCCCCAGTCTAACATACGGATACACAGGTAGGCAGCACAGAGAGCAGCTCTATGAAAATGTATGTCTCTGGTTTATGTTTTTCACCAGAATGCCATGATGGTCACGTCTCCTATGAACAAAAAGCCATTTTCATCTCTCTACACAATACAGAAAAAAACAATCCTGTCTGTTCAGTTTTACACTTCTTAATTTTTCTGGGATATTACTACCAACATGATAGGTGTTACAAAATGTTAAGAAAAGTAGATCAATTAATATCAAAATTTGATTGAGTTCTTTGTTGACTTACCTTGCCAACAGATCTGGGGAATGGTGGTCTTTGATTTTCAGGAATTAATATTGGAGTCGCCAAAATAGCCCTTTTTTGTCTCGGAATTCCAAGGTTGCTTTCTATCTTAAAGATTTCCTAGAAAAAAACAACAACATACTAATTACAAGGAGTTTCAAAATAATTCTCAGTTATTATTTGCCTTCCCTGTAAAGGAAACCTTTAGGCAAAATTAACATGAGCTACCAGACTCTAAGTTTTCTATTACAGGTCTTCCAGCAATTAGTGACGACATATCAAACGATTTATTTAAATAATCTGTCATGTTACTGCACTTATTATAGTGACAGCAGGTAGGCTGAATTCATTTTGTATTCCTGTAGACTAGTTTTAAATCTAAGCAAGTGTGTCTACCATCATAACCTGACAACTAAAATCATAAACCTTAAACAAGATCCGGCTCACCTCAGATACCTGTACAAGATGTGTAAGAAGTCACACTTGAAAGGTTTTACACAATTCTCACATTTCGGGTTGTATCTATGTTTGATCACTTCTCAAGTCCAGGCTTTTAATCAATCACAACTTATAGAGGAATTTGCTGAGACACAAGTATTCCTGTTGCATTTTCTGGAGTATTTAGTTTGAGCTGATCTTCAGACAAATCAGCACTTTATGAGCTACAGAAACTCTTCATAGTGGCATCTGGCCCCTAGAAAACTCTGTCCATCACACCTCTGCCTTCCCTCCCCTCCTGCTCTCTGATCCTCCCTGCATAAACTGCAGTTTTCCAGAGTTCACCTTCCTTTTGCTTCCTCCTTCAGTTTCTGCAACCCTCTTCTCAAAGCACAGTTACTATCAAGGTCAAAACTGCTTCTCCTCATCTCCCAAAGCTCTCGTCTTGATCTACTCCCCTTTTAGAAAAAAAAAACCAAACCAAAAAAACCCACCCAACCAACCAACAACACTCTCAAAACCCCATATACCCAACAAACTAAAACATGGGCAAATTTGTAATGTGTTGGGAACTGTGAAACCAAACAAGATTTAGATCAGTATTATTCATTCAGGTTGTTATGACACTTTTATAAAAGAAATCATAGGCTGAATTAAATGCCTAATTCAAATAAGGTAGTTACGTCCTACAGATAGCGCTTTTCTCCTCTCTCTTAATGCAGAAACTCCAAAACCCTAAGTTTCTCAGTTCTGGAATTCATGCTGTTGTAATAGGTGCTGCTTTATTGAATAAGAAGAGCTCCATCTCTAGGTTTATTTTTATAAAACTGCACAGCTGAATGAGTTTTCTTGGTGGCATGATCTGGATATCAGTCTGTCAAGAACTTCCCAAGTGGCTCCTGCAGCTGCCAGTGTAGGCATCTCACATGTAATGGGTCTATCATCACCAAAACACAACAAACTGCAGCAAGAGAAACTCAGGTCAACAGTAAGCTTTAGTCACGATAAAGTCAAAGAGCTGTGAGAACCATGCAGACAATTTTGTCAACTTTCATAACTTTTTGAGGCTCACCCTGATAGAGATTTCCCATTTCTCCCAAAGGCTTTGCCACTTCTCTCTAATCTTTCAGTCCGCCAGCCACTTGGGTCACTATTTCTGTCTTTCAGTTCCTCACCCAAAGGAATTTTCCTTAATAAAAATTCATGAGGAAATTCAAGATAAAAACATCTAAAGTATCAAATAAAAAGGATAAAAAGGAAAGACATGAATTCTGTCCAAATGCAAATGCACAAAGCAGTAAACTTCCAAAATCACTTACACTGTAAACACAGCAGACAGTTTGGCCAGCATTTGTATACGAAATTTCTAAGGAGAGTAAAAGTGACTACCAGTATGTCTAAAAGGACAAAACTATTCTTTTGCTCAGCAGTAGCTGTGCTCAGCTGACCAGTTTTCACTCATTCTAATTCCTAACTTCACAGTTGCTTTTCAGCTCATCAAAATGTAAGGAAGAACTCTCAGATGCACGCTCTTTGAAAATAAGCAAGACTTTTGTTCGGATTTGCATCTCTTTGTATCATAGAATGGCTTGGGTTGGAGAGGCCCTTACCCAGTCCATCCCCCTGCAACGAGCAGGGACAGCTGCAACTAGATCAGGTTGCTCAGAGCCCCATTCAATCTGACCTTAAATGTTTGATGTTTCTTTCTATGGTAGTTTGAGGAGTAAAATGAATTGTCAGATTGTTCAATATCTAGATCTCTCCGTTTTGGTCGTCATAGACCCATAAGCAAAGAACTCATCACTTTCTCTCAATAGATTATCCTTACATTTTCCCAGAAGGTCCACAAACAGAAGAAAAATCTAAATTATATTCAGTGAATCAACACTGCAGTCATTAATACAAAGAAGAGAAAATATAAAGGAAAGCAGCAGGTTGGCAAGACTTAAAGCCTTCAAGTCCAGATTTCTGAGCAGCACTTTTTAACAAAAAAAAAAGGAAAAATACTATTATTTATTTGGGGTTTGTTTCTAAGGACAATTATACTTTTGCATGAAGCTTCTGCAGATTGGGCACACAAATGTAAGCACTTCTCTGAGTGTGCTTCACACTGCTTATTCATCAGATCTCACTGCCGTTAGTAAATAATGATTTCTTCATGATGATTTCTCTCTTTCTCATCACCCCCTGGTATCTAACAGCAATATGACTGGTTAAATGAATAACCAAAAGCATCACCATGGAATGCAAATAAACAGAAAGAAAGGAAAAAAGTACTTCACCAACATGTTTAATAATATGTGGTCATCATAATTATTTCCCCATTTGTAAAGAACAAGAAAAAAGAAAAAAAGTTTTGCTTAATGCCAATCAGCTGCAACTGATGGTTTGATCCTCAATGAGTATATAAGATAGAAGCCAAGGAATTTGATATTATACATGCACTTAGCATCTGGTTCAACAGTTGAAACACTGAAAAGATTCTCATGCATGGGTAGATATTTTGCACCTATAATAATTTTTACTAAATTCAGTACCATTTCAATGTCCACCATTTCATACCCAGTATTTTATATCTTATTTTTGACTTCATTAAATTCCCTTTCTAGATGTGGTAGAGCAATGCTTCAGCTCCCAATACGTTGATTCACTGCCGACAAGCATTCAGCAAAGCAACAAACACAGCCTTCTTACTTTTTCCAGCATTTGGTTCAGGCTTTTACTGAAAGATGGCACTCTGTCCAAGTTGCAGCTTCCCTAGTTCCCTTGAGAACTCTCTACTCTGCTTTGTTTCTCCTTCTCTTGACCAGCGGTTCTTGGGAGCATTGTGGTACTTAAATATCTGAATGGATGGCCTAGTCACTATCCAGTAGCAGGCACCATTACTCTTGGCAAATTTCATTAGAACTTGTCATGGGAATAAGTTGGCTGAATGCTGATACTGATTTGTCACAATAAGGGTTAGAAATATCACTAGAGTGGCAATCTGTATTCCACTATAGCAACAAGAAAGCGAGTTGAGTTTCTTGCCATTTACTTGTTTTTATATACTAAGCTTGATGGTATAAAATGGGGTAAATCCCAAATAAATAAAAAAAAAATACAAGTAATTGGATGCTCATTGCAAGTAAAATTCCTCTGAAATTGCAAATCGAATGTGGTATTCCATGTTATATCGTCCTTACTACAAAATGAGATTAGTAAAAAGATTAAAAAACTAAAACTGCATGCAGATCAACTTAAGAAATAATTTTCATGTAATTCTCAGCTGAAATTTTCCAATTGTGCGGTAATACTTTGTTGCTTTATGTATGTTATTTCTGTCATCAGAGCATTATTACCAGCAGTATTAATAGTTAATCATTTCTAAAACACACGTCAAAACAGAAAATTACTTTCTCATGTGGTTAATAATATGAAAAATATAAGAAACGTGCTGAAATTATGCCTGTAAATAAAAGAACAATTGTTTAAATAAATAACTCAATTAATAAAGTTCAGAATTGTAAAGATCAATGGCATACATACAACATCAGCTCAAAGGTAGTCTGTCCTTAATATCTGTAAATTTCACCCTAAAAATTACATTATATGCTTTAGAAGAACATATCTATCATGCTAACATGAATCGCGTATCCAGGCTTCCAGGCTTGCGAAGCATGGTGAGATAAAACATCTGGGTAACGGGTAATGGAAATTGCTGGTGGAACTTGATTTAATTAAATTGGGTGTTTCCACTATTATAATTGTTACATAAATAGAGAGGCAGATCCTCACACTGCCTAACTGACATACCCATTAACTTCATAGACACTTCGCAGTCTCGGTCTACAGCTTTGCTACCGTGCCATTCAGCTAGCTGTGTTATAGGTATTTTTATAGAATGGAGGTTTCTTTAAAGGACTTGAGAACATATTCCAAAAAAAAATTATTCTTGTTCAAATCATTCAGTCATGTGTAAATCATAACTATTTTAATGGTAATTTATTCTATAATATTTTTGTAATTCACATGTAACAAAATGTCAACTATTGTGAAGACAAATCTGCACATTTTCTTCGTGAAATGATACATTCCATTACCACCCCACACCTCTGCAGTATTTTTTGTGATGGAAAAGTCCTGGGGTTTTAAATTAACATTTCAAACTCTTCTTGTCATTATTTTGTGAGTGCTATTTTCATTTTGAACCATTTGTGAATCATCACCCCTCTTTAAAGAAATCTCTTATTGGTTCCACATAGCTCATGAAACATAACGAGGTGTCCCTTTTACACAAACAACTAAATGTGCTCTGACTGCCTGCATCTGCCAAACACCATTGCAAATACAGGCTTAAGAAATAAAAGACAACAGCTGACCTTATGCCTCTGTCTTCACCAGGATACACTAACAACACATCACTTATCACCATTAAAAATACTCTTCTCCTCCCTATCTCTACTGTGCTTACACTGGTTGCAAAGCAAACAAAACCAGACTGCTTGTACAGCATGCCAGGAAATATTCAAAATTGTTAAAGATGTCCCAAAATCTACAGTGCCTTAAGTAAACACAGCTTAAATAAGGAAAGCACTTGCTGATGCAATTGCCAAAGTATACAAGCCCTAAGAAAAGCGTTCTGTAATGAAAATTTACCTTGAAAACAGGGAGGTTTGGCTTTCTCTTTTTTTTTTTTCATT